GCAGCAACAATTTCCTCCTCGCAGCACATCAAATCTTCCCGGCAGAAATATTCGCCCAGTTCCCTCTCAAAGTCAGGCGGCTCAGACGAACAACATGGGCCAAGAGGTCTCGCGGTTGAAGGAGAAAGTCCATCATTTGCGCGATGGTCAAAATGGCGCAAATGTGGGAACGTCTCATAGCGACACTGCGCTCTCGCCAACTCAACGCCTGCCGACTCCCGATTATGAGAAGGAAGACGTCAAAACGCCGGTTGTCGAAACAATCGTATCGCCCGTCTCACCCGCTTCCTCTCCCGAGCCTGGCCGCGAGCAATCGAACGAGTCCAAGCCTCCTATCCCCCGCAAAGCGGTCACGGCCCGCAACTTACACAACGCTCAAAGCTTGCCTCAAATGCGCGCAGATGGGCCTGTGACCAGCAACGAGGCTCCCCCGACAATCACGAGAGACTTTGCAGTCAGCCCTGTTAGTCCCGATCCTCAGAACCAGCTGCCGCCTCGGGTCGCCTCCAACAAGCAGCAGCAGCAGCAGCAGCGGGAGTATGTACCCTATGCGCCAGCACCCGGATTCGCGCAGGGAGATATGCGACCTGCCTCGAGAGATCAGCGCCCCAACCAAGAACCCGTCGAGTACCGCGAACTCAAGGTCAAGGACCTGCCGCCTGCCGACCCTCGCGCGTCGTTCTTCCCCATGCAGGGTTCCGAGCCTCCCAGCCCCGGCATGATCTACAAGGCTCTGCCGTTAAAAGAGAGCATGCTCGATTGCTACGTCAAGCACCGCACCATGGACCGAACTCGCAACCGCAACTACGCCCTAACATGCCAGACGTGCGGCAAGGCCGATACCGAGGATCGTTACAAGTGCCAGTTCTGCTACGTACGCATGTGCGCTTCCTGCCTGCAAATCTTCAACAGCAACCGCAGAGACCTCCGGAAGCTTATGGCTCACTTGGAGGGCAACCCTCAGAGCGGCGGCTCCCAGGAGCGTCCTCCCACGGCAGCTGGCATCGAGGCCCCCGAGAAGGAAGAGCAGCGTACAGACGCTCAACAACAGCAACAGAACCAGCAATCAGTCACAGCCTGATTGCTTTCAAATTCACATTTTTCCAATTCTCTTCTTGTTTGCTTGGTATAGGGAAATCACATGGTCATTTTCACTTCCAAGCGGTTTTTCAACATTTTCCCCGGCGGCCGGACTTTCACGGATCTTCGTCACCAAGGGAAAATGATCAACTTTCTGCATTGCGGGATTAGATAGAGAGGTCGATTGGCTGATACCCCTTCTCGACCCCAAGATACCAATGTTTGTCTATAGGAAGTCGTGGCCCCCAGGGAAAAGGATGGAAAAGGGTCACGCGCACATTTTTCTTGTTTGTTGGAAGGGATCACTACTACTACTACTACTACTACTTGCTTGATGCAAGCTCTGAGCATACGAAAACGAAGCTTGATAACGAGAAAGGACAATACAGGCAAATGGGGAAAGACAGGTTAACTCCAGATTTTGGAAGGGTGGGCTCTCAGAGAGCCGGAATTGAAGCCCGACTACTTTTTTCAAAAAAGAAGAAAAGGAAATTCAAAGTAAAGATTTTCAAGCTCGTATATGCGGTGAACTGTGGTGCTACATACGTCCCAGAACTCAGGGACACACCAACGAGAAGCGCAACGCTTCGTGTAATAAGCAAAGACGCGCAGGAACTGTTTCCTCGACTTGCCCATCTGCAAATGTGTCGGGGCACGACGTTCAGCGAGAAGGGGGGAGAAATCAGGCAGGTTGAGTTATTTACCGGATGTACCGGAAATTACTGCATCGCGTTGGCGGACACACGAGGGATGTTACGAAGTACGGAGTATCCATACGGACTGGTAGGGAGGGGTCTCATCGGAGAAAATAAACGGAAGGAAATAAAAAGACACCAGCTGAGATTCGCGAACAGACGGGGTGCCACTGTTCGGCTCAGCCCGCCGACGTTGGAGTCGAGGAGATCCAAGCGCCGGCGCTAGAAGACTCCTTGGAGTCCTGCAGGGCGGTGGCTGGACCGGCCCGCTACTGCAATACTTTTGTTGTGGCCAGGTCTAACCATTAGCCATAAGTACCGTTCTATCTTAATGCAAACTCCCATCTGAACCTGGTCCTGATCCTCACCCATCATCGGCCCCCCACCGTCGCCCGGGCCCCTAGCAACCCCCACACCGCAAAGAAACCGTACGGCGCGGCCCCTGACGTCGAAAATCAACATCAACATCGCGAACCCGGCGGCCCTTTGGCGAAGATACCCACCGATTTCGCTGCGACCCTCATCAATCTCGCATTGGCGACTCTTTCGCTAACTCACCAATTGACCGAACAACCGACCGCGAGCGCGGGGTCCCCGCAGAGACCTCGAAACCGGGCCGCGACTCGCGCCGAGACCAGCGGGACCATCGAGCATCGGGAGAGAACCACCGACCTCCAGAACCGCATGATCACCACACACATACCAGAGACCCCGGCGTAGTCATGTCCTCGTCGCTAGCCCGCACCCGCTCCCTGCGAAAGCCAACGCAGGGCTCCTCGACCGATCTTCCCCCTACGACCGCAACCTCCGTATCCTCCTCGGCTTCAATCACGGCAGCTAGAGGCCCCGCGAGCTCGACCACAGGAGGAGCAGCAGCAGCGCCATCAGCGTCGGCGTCCACATCCCACCGCCCCGTATCCCCGAGTAGACTACCCGCGCCCCGGTCCCTCGCCGCAACACGTCCCACAACACGCACCGTCTCCGGCGTCAGCGTCGCGAGCAGTACAGCGGCGGCGGCCACAACCGCCTCCGAGGCGCCCAAGAAGAAGAGGCCGAACCCCTTATCGTCGCTGCTGAGCAGAAGCTCTTCGACGCGCCAACCAGCGTCCGTGACAACGTCGATTTCGACGAGACAAAGAGATGTGGTAGCAGGTGCTGGAGCAGGAGGAGGACTAGCTAGCTCGGGACCAATAAGCGCCCCTTTAAGCAGGACAAGCGCGCTCTCGGGCCTTACGAGGACGACTTCGACGAGGGAACCGGGACTGACACGGACGCGATATCCCGCAAACGCCTCGACGAGCAACCTCAGCTTCGTCTCGTCATCCAATGCTGCTGCAGGTAGAACCGGCGCTGGTTCCGGACCGTCGACGCCTACGACAGCGAGACCGACCACCTCGGGCGGTCTACCATCCTCGAGACGCGCCGGTGCACCAACGACGACTTCGACAGGAGCAGCAGCAACAGCGGTAGGAGCTGGGAGTCCAACAAAGGGCCACGCGCGCGCAAGGAGCGTCGCGACCCTGAACAACAGCACCGTCCTCCGACCCCCAAGCCAGACGTCGTCTACCGGGGCCACTGGCGCCGCACCGAGATCACGCCCGACGTCCCTATACGGCGCACCTCCGACGTCTTCCTACCCATCCTCAACAGCATCCACGACCACGAGACCCCGTCCCCCCTCAGCAACAGACCGCCTCTCCTCGAAACCATCCGTATCCTCCCTCTCCTCCGCAACAACCACAACATCAACGCGCACAGCCCGAGCAGGCAGCACAACAACAGCACCAACCCGCCAACCCCTAAAACAACCTCAAAAACCACCACCATCCCACCAAGCAGCAACAACAGCACCACCACACCTCGCCCGCCAACAAGCCCAACAACGACACCCCTCCCCAACCTCACCACCCAGAACCACAAAACCAGTCCTCCGCCCAGCCTTCTCGACCTTGCAACAGCACTACTCCCCCGCCAAATCCCTCGCCCCGAAACCCCTGACGGCAACCTACCTCGCCGCCCCGTCCCCGTCAAAGCTCCCCGCCAACATCGCCCTCACGGCAGAGACCTCCCGCCTCCAAACAGAGCTCCTCCAGCTCCACCTCCTCCACCGCGACCTGCCGCAGGTCACGTCCCAATGGCACGCCAGCGCCCGCTCCAAACTCGCCGCGCGCCACGCCGACCTCGCGGCCTCGGCAAGAAGCCTCGCAGCCCTCGAATCCGACGCCGCGGAGCGCCGTAACCTCGCAGCCCTAAGTAGCTGGGGAGCATCCGCCGGCAAAAGCGGCAAGGCAGTAACATCATCCCTACCGCTGGAAGACCGCATCCAGCGCCTAGACGCCCTCCTCACATCCCTCTGGTCCCTCGACGACCCAGGCGGAAAACACCACCGCCTCGTCCGCGCCTTCGAGCGCTGGGCCTCTTCCCTCGCCGACCTCGAAGCCGCCCGCGCCCGCGCAGAAGACGGCGCCGACCCCTCCGCCCTCCTAGATGACAACGCGGACGTCCGTTTCGGCGGCGGCCTCGACGCGCGGTGGAAAGACGACGCCGCGGCGTTGGTAAGGCGTCTCGAGGGGTGGGATGCGCAGCTCAGGGAGCTAGAGTATCGCGGTGATGATGACGAGGACGCGACCGCTAGTACTACTACGACACAAGCGTCGAGCTTGAAGCGCATGTTGGACGGATGCAGCAGTCTCGTCAGGGACATGCTCGACGAGCTGGCCGTCATGGAAGACATTGAGGCAGCGGCGGTACAGAGGGAGAACGAGTGGATTAAGAAGATGAACAGAGAGGGAGACGACGGCCGCGGCAGAGATACCCAGAGAGCCGGTGCCATTTGGAGAGTGATTTAAGAAGACAGGCTGTGTTCTGACCGATCCCGTATAAATGTACGTCACATACAGTGAGCCGGCAGGCCAGCAAGCGATGGTTCCCGGAGAGGCACCCTGGACAGAACAAAGGTGTCTCAGCGTCAAATTCATCGAATATCAATGTCTGTTTTGATGCTCTCTCAACGCAACTTCTGTTTTCCGCTGTTATCCACCACTTCCGCTTTCCGCTGTCATCCACCACTTCCGCTGTTGGTAATCGATTCTTCGTCCTCCATAACGATACTTTCCACACCCCATTACCTAATTGTACAAATCAAAAGTTGTTTTGTTCTGACTGCAACCTCCGGTGCTTTGCAATTTCGGCCCGCACACACCCTTCCCATCTCTGTGTGACCCATCAGATCAATGCTTCAAGCCAGGTCAAGTCGCCGCCCATGGCGAACTTCCACCATGCAACTCCTACAACGATGGCAGCCGTGCTCGTGGCCAGCATCCTGCGGACAAAAGTCAACCTGTCAGATATTGTGAGGAATAATGACAAACAAAGGAAAAGGTAATGAGAAGAACACGAGCAACCGATCCACTGTGCTATGCGAACCGGAATAGAGAGATGACCTTACGCCTTTCTCTTGCTGCCGAACAACCGGCTAAACAGTCCACCAATCCAGTCTACGAACAATACGCGGAAGAAGGCCTGGAGCCAGCCTCCTTTGCTGTCTGCGACGCTGTGTATCGAGGAAGGGGTTCCAGGACGCTCGGTCGATGCAGGCCCGCGCTTTTTGAGCTGGCCTTTGTGACCACCATCGCGGCCGGAGGTCGTTGCCTCGCCGCCGGGGCTCGAAGCAGAAGCCCTTGCCAGTTCGCCGTCCTGACTGACACTGGAGCTTGCTCTGTCTTGGGGCGGCTCAACGCGGATGGCAGGGCTCAAAGGCTCGGCGGGGCGAGTCTTAGGCGACAGATCCCTTGACTGCTTGCCGTTGGACTGGCCGTTGGCAGCAGGTGAATCTGAGCTTGACGACTCTGAGCTTTTCCTGGATTTGGAGCCTTTCATAACGACTCCCTCGTCATCATCACTCCCGGGAGATGTAAAAGCATGCGGCGTTGGCCGTACCGCGGGGCTCGGAACTCTGACCAAGCCCTCATCCTCGCGATTGGCCTCCTCGGCATTCGGAGTCTCCTTATCCTCTTCGGCGATTGATCCCAGAGAAAGGAGTGATCTGTCCGAGACCATGGAGCCGTGTGACTTTCGCGGAAGCTCCAGCCTCTTGGTGGAGCCCGGACTAGAGGGGCCAGACGAAAGGACAGCTTCATCGAAGTATTGATCAGAACTGGCCCGGCGTGTTCCATTTATAGGTGAAATGGGCGCGCCATAGAAAGCAGTCTGATCCTCGTTGCGCCCAGTCTCGACCTTGCGCACGGCATCGATGATTCCGTCCCTGTTAGAGGGCCACCGCTCGAGGGTGGGATCATTGAGGTCATACTCGTCGACATCGTACTCCACAGTGCCATGATGATCGTAGTCCTTTGGAATTTCATCTTCGTCATCAGCTGAAGGCTCGTAGGGTCCAAGAGCTTCGTGAGCGAATAAAGGTGCAGGACAGTCGTCCGAGTCCTCTTCCTTAAGATCCTATCATACTGTCAGTCATGGCTCTACAATTATGAGTCTGCCGCTTGTTTGGCACATACCTCATCAGCGTCTAGCTTCTGGGCAGAATCGGCAACCTCAGCCGCAGTGCTCGCAACTTGTTCAATCGGCGTCGAAGACAGACGCCCCCTTTCCTCGTCCTTAAGGTGCTCCACGCCCTTGGGGAGCGCTGCAAGTCTAGACATGTCGACCTCAGCGTCAAGTTTCTCGGCGGTATCAGCGACCTCTGCGGCGGTGTCCGCAACTTGGCCGATCGGGGTCGACGAAAGTCTTTGCCGCTCCTCGTCCTTGAGATAATCTTGGAGCTTTGTTTTCGGCTCAAGCTGGGCAGCAGTATGCTCTGTGGCAGCTTTTGACGCGTTCACGTCTTCGGAAGTTGAGGCGTTTTCGCTTGCAGGTTGGCTGTCGCCGTTCACACCGTTGAGTTCTTTCGACTCTTGAGACGCAGGTGCTGTCAGGAGGTTGTTACGATTGCCAGATCCGTCGGTGACTGTAGATTACCTCCCTGTTAGACGAGCTTGCTGAAAACGCAGCATTGCGCAACTTGGGGGCAAACATACCTATAGCTGCAGTCTCGTTAAGAACCCACCAGTCCCCTAGACCAACACGGAACTTGTACTCGATCTGCGTGTTTGGCCGAACTTCAATGTTCTTGTAGAACGTGTGTTCTCCACCATCTTCGGTGGTGAAGTCCATCTCCTGGGGCTCCCATTTTGGATTTGAGAAGGAGCCGGCGACAAAGATGGGAGGCTGCGTCCCGGGCTGCTTGTAGGTGATGGTCACGGAAACCATTGTCGACGACGGCCTCCGCGGCGAAGTAGGTTGAAGTTGGGTAGCTTAACTCTCGTCGTCACTCGGCCAACTCAATCGCACAAGGACGAGCGTTTGAAAAGGTGGATTCTCTTCGTCGGCTGCCCTTCTATCACGGATCAAGTCAGCACAGGTAAGAGAAACCTTTCGGGAAGGAAAACTCGATGAAAATGGCAGAGAAGGAAGCCGTTCCCTTGGAACCCACAGCGAGGGTGGCGGGTTGAGATGGGCAACAACGCTGACGAATGCGGCTGTCTCTGGGCGATACCTTAAAATGCGGCGCTAGTCGTAGGAAGAAAGAAGGCGTCAAAGGTGATGGGAATGACTTTTGGTGAAGGAAAAAAGAAATGGAAGAACACCAAAGGGTGCGAGACAATTCTACGGGAGGAATCTGGAGTGTGGAGTCTCCGGATGAGTGTTTCACGCAACGACGCCAACGAGGAAGATTCGGGGGCTGCGTATTTTGTGTGAGTGAAACGGCTTTGAGGGAACGAGCTGATTGGGGTTTGGAAGAGTACGAGGTGAATGGGGTAGAGCTTACTGCAGCAAGGCCATACGGAGGCCGAAGGAGAAACGTAACGTGCAGATGCTTCGAGCTGGGTGAGAGGAGCTCAGACAGCAGAGAGATCAAGAAGCCGATACCTTGTTCTGGGTGAGGTGGGTGGGAGGTGCAGCAGCTCAGAACAGGGAAGCTGCGGCACAGGAGGGGTTCATTGCATGATTATTCCGTATGTCGTATGTGCCATGTCAAAGGTTGGGGTGTGCCGGCCGGAGAGGAAGGAGACTGGGAAAGAGGTTGGGAAGGACGAGGTCATGGAGGAGGCTAATTGCTATCTAAGCCTTCTAAGGTGGTAGGAAAAGTTGAGGCAAAGCACTTGCTCACTTTCAGCTTCCTTACTTGCCCGAGTTGGAATGCAATCTGGTTTGCGACCTGCAGTCGGGTACTTTGTTTGCCATGGCTTCCAACGCTATGAGAAATAAGACCCAGACTTGTCAGCAATTGAGCTGGATTGCACCATCTATTTTGTATGGCACATGGCGATTGCTGGTTCCTGATGAGACGAGAATGGACCATAGAAGTAGGAACCCGTGCTGAGGCATGAGATGAGATCGCCGCTTCCTCTCTTTCACCAACATTACCCATTCCTCCCCCGTTTGATCCAAGTTTTGTTGGCGGTTTAGCTCCCGACGCAACGCTCAATGCGCGACCTGAAGCTCCCGCAAATCATTGCCCCAGCAAAAAGTAGCGGTTATCAGCACCGCAGTCAATGGCCACCCAGCTGCTCCATCTCAGCGCCGGCATGCTTTGTGCGTCATCATCCCTGATGCATCCCGAGAGCAGGGGAGTCGCTGGGACATGACCATTGGCTATGTTTGCTTCCGTTTCCAAAGTATCGGAGACTTTCTACCACCGCACGAGCCATGCAGCTCCACAGTCGCTGGGCTAAGGTAAGCTGATCGTGGGTCCCAGTGGATGAAGTTGGAACTGGAGGGCCTGGCCCAGACCGGGACGGCAACTTCAGACATTGAGCTAACAGCCACCTCCATCATGCCAAACAAGCTCCGTGGAATGGGTATTTCTCTGGCAATCAGCTACAATTCCATCTCAAATGTTTATTTATCAACGAAGTCGCAGCCTACGAAACCTACGCAGTACACATCAACACTATAGACCTTTTATCTCAGCACCACTGCCTTGAGATCCATACGCAGGCGTGGTGGATGAGGTGGTCGCGTGCAAAACTCCAAACTAACGTCTCCTGTCCAAAGGCTAGACAAGTGAGGAAGGGTAGATGCTGCAGAGGTTTCGAATGTCATCAAGCTCAGCGAGAGCGGGGACCAGCTCCCCATGTCTCAGTCATCTGGAAATTTTCAAAAACCAGCATGATAGCACTCAAGATGCTTGAGAAGCGTCCCTGGATGAGTTCAGACGCTCAATTGGCCGTATCTCATCCAGCATCTAGAACCTTGACGCTTGTGCTGTTAAAAAAAGGTGGGAAACTCAACCGTGATCAGAAATGGCGGGGCTTCCATTTCCCCCATCCTCAGCACCGGCGTATTTTCTGCCGAAAGCGGTGAGATTCTTGGCCAATGACGTGATACTGCGATAAGGATTTCTTATCGCAGCTCTACCCCTAGCGCACTGTCACTAGGTAAGGTAGGTGTGCTCGACATGTGGTTGCCGTGTGCCTTAGCGGCTGCTTCCAGAAAAATCCACCTTCCACAAAAAACATCGTCAACCAGAACTGCATGAATTGCAACGTCGCAACAGATCCAGTCTAATCCAGGAACTGTCTATGCAACTTCTGAGCGCTTAATTTATTTCTCGGCATCCACAACAAATCATTCACGACCCCGATAACACCCCCGTTCCTTACGTTTTTCTGATTTCGCAGTCTCTATTATTCTCTCTAGCCCATCATGTCTGCCCCTCCTCAACTGATCCACATCAAGAGGAAGCGGGGCGATGAAGATGCTCCGGTCACCTACCTTCGTACGACCGCTCTTCCTTTTTACAATCAACGGACGGACAAATTAATAGGAGACAGAACTCGAGCCGGGATCCAAACGACATCTAGCCGGCAGCAGCTGGGTCTATCAGAGGCGCCTCGCCAAAGCCAGCGCAAGATCCGCTGCCGCTGCCGCCGCAGCACAGCACCCATCGCAACCCTCCATACCGGTCATCCAGACGTCGAAGCCCGGTGACGAGATCTCGAGCCCGCATCGCCCACCTCACTCGAGCAGCCATGCTCTTCCGACAGGAAAGGCACCGGCAGTGGCGCCGCCGCCACGGACCCAGCTCGATGCACAGAAGCCCCTGCCGCAGACCGCTTCCGATCCGCAACGCCCTCAGAACCCGGCCACCGAGCCGAGACGATTCCACATGTCCAGGTCGGCCATGAGTTCGCCTGGGGGCAGCACTATACTCAAGGCCGGTGGTGTCTCCAAGCGGGGACGCTACGGGACAGCCGTGTTCGTGGAGCGGGGGAAGAAGAAGAGCGCACGCCGGGTCGCCACGGCGTCTGGCGGCACCACACCGACGACGATGACCACGGAGGGTCTGCCAGCTGATGTTGAGATGAAGGAGGACCACAAGCCGGCGCCTAAGAAGCCACTTGCCAAACGCCCCCCTCCCTCGCGTGCGGCCTCCGAGGCGACGACAGGGCCGGAGACGCCTAGCGGAGAGCCGCAGCGCAAGCCCATGCCCGGCGCGGCTCCCACGCAGGATATGAGCAAGATCGCGGCCGACATGGACCAATGGGTTCTCCACGAGATCGGGCTGAATCTCCAGGCTATGGAGCAGCAGCCGCCGCGCTCGCAGTCCGCCTTTTCGTCGCCTTCACGCTTCAAGCCCAAGGCGCCAGCCAAACGCTTTGCCGAGCGCCACCCGGAAATGGTCAAGAAGCTCAATGGCGGCGACGAAGCCATGACGGAGGCGAGCGAAGACGACGACGAGAGCGACGACGACTACGTTATTGAGGTGTACGAGCTCGCGCCTTCGAAGCCGGTGCTGGCGGAGATTCCGCCCGAGCAGATTGGTGTGCTCAGGTTCGATTCGCAAGAGGATTTGGAACTGTTTTACGGTAACGAGGACGACGATTCGGATCTTGACGATGATGAAGACGAGAATGGTAAGTCTGTGGACCGAACAAAGCTCTGTCTCTCATTTACTGACATGAATGTGCACATAGCCGAGAATCACTACACGGCGGATTACCCCGAAGATGAGGTCGATTCCGAGGACGAGTACGATCGCCACGCCTACTTGTTCCGCAACGCCAATGCCTCGGATGAGGAGGAGTTTGACACCCGCGATCCGTACGAGGACGAGGACGACGATATGTACGTCATGGAGGGTGATGAGCGGCGGGACGAGGACGACGTCTTTCAGGACAAGATTCGGCGTTACATTCGCCAGCACGGCGACATGTAAAAGCACGGCGACCGGTAAAGTGTCCGACCTAATTACTGGGTGGATTAGCCTCTGAACTTTTTCGAGAATAATACCAAAAGGGTAGCTTTCAATATTCAGTCTATGTTCACACTACTGCGTGAAAAGCTAAATGAGGTTATGGCTCCGATGACATTTGTACTGAGGAAATGTGTGGTGTGTGTGCAATTGAAGTAGCCTATGTATCCAACCTTGAAGTGGAGTTAAGAGAGAGTGCTTCTCCTTCACGTAAATACAAGAGGTAAATTTCTCGATTCCACATCCCAAGGCCCCCTTGAAATAGGTCAATATCTCCTCCGAACCCAGATTCCCATCTAATACTCCAGCTGTAAAATAAAAAAAAAAATAAGTACAGAATATGCTGCATAAAAGCGCCTTTGCTGATGCGAGACGCCGGGTTTCAATTCCGTTCCACGGGCTTGAAGATGATGCTGCATCCCAGATCTAGTAATGGAAGTTAAGAGTGTTTGCTGTCTCTTGTGTGTGTGTGTGTGATGGCTCCAGAACGCCAAGTAAATATGTGACCCATGTGACGAAGAAATCGTCGGAAAGAATGTGGCTGGAAAGACAGACTTCTTCCCCAAGTGAGACTTCAGGGTCTCACTTACACGATCACGAGCTGAAGAATTGTCTCCCACTACATAATCGTGCACGCCCCGACGGTTCGACCCCGCCTCCGACCGCCGTTACCGCCCTCCTCCTCGTCGGCATGCAACATTTGCGCCTCCCTCGCTCTTCGTCTGCGCCGGCGGTGACCGGCGCCCGTGGTCCCGGCTTCCTCGCTCGCCTGCATGTAATCGGCCCACCGGTGCTCGAGGCGGTTGGCGGCAGCGAGGTCCCCGCGGAGCACGCGCTTCATGTGCTCGTCGACAGTCATCTGGAACTTGTAAAAGCACTTGAGGCCAATGGCCTCGGACGCGTAGGCGAACTTGCCAATCTCGGCCATGGACGGCTTGGACTGCGCGTTGCGGAAGAGGACCTCGCGGATGCCGGTCCAGGTGACGTTTTGGCAGTCGTAGACGACCATGTGCAGGCCGACCTTGGGTTTTGGCTTGACGGCGTTGCTCTGGGAGCGGTTGCTCACCATGAAGGCCGCCTCGGCGAGGACAAGGTCGCTGATGCGGGTGTTGTCGAGATCGATAGCCCGGAGGCTGACGCAGTTCTTGACGATGGGGAGGACGCCGCTGTCGCCGAGGTTCTCGCAGTAGCTGATGGAGAGGTGCTCCAGCCACGGCGCGCAGGGTGCCTTAGCCAGGTGTTCTGAGAAGAGGGCGTTTGTGAGGTCGGAGAGGTCTTCGAGCTCAATGTGTGTGAGGCGCGGAGTCGATGCGAAGATTGGCTCCAGCGCGGCGTCCGTGAGGGCGGTGCAGCCGGACAGGCGCAGGCCCTGGAGTTCCGGGACGTTGTATCCCAGAGCCTTGACGCCCTGGGAAGTCAGACGGGCGCAGCGGCTGAGGTCGAGATGACGCCATTTCCTCGGGGGAACGATCGGTCGGTCGGTGAGGATATCGATTTCGGGGTCTTCGCCGTGAACCATAACCTTGAGCGCGCGGTCGTTGAGCTCGGCACAGCCGTTCAGAACCAGTCTTTCCAGCCTGTTCGTCTTGTATATCGTTTCGGCGACCTCGAGATTGTCGAATCCTCTGACCTCTCCCGCTCTCAAATCCTTCAACCTCGGACACCCTTCGATTACTGCCTTGATACCTCTCGCGTCCATATGTACGCACCATGAGACGTTGAACATCTCCAGCTGCGGACATGACTCGGCAATGATTTTGCACGACATGTTGGTAACCGCTGTCAAACCAGTCAAATTGAGCTGAGCGAGCTTATCGTTCGTTCTCAACAGGCTGTGTAACGTGTTGCGCTGGAAGTTGCGGCATCCCTCGAGCGTCGCGTTGACTAAGTTCTTGCAGGCCTTGACGACTACCTCGGCCCTCTTATAGTGTTCGACCTGAACGCAGCCCCTGAGGTTGAGGTCCTTGATGAAGGGCCCAGCGGCTACGATGATTCTTGCAAGAGATTCGGCAGGGATGATTTGGTAAAATTCCGTGGCGTCAAAAGACGTCCAAAGCTGCCCATCAAAGCAGATCTTGTGGAAAGTCTTGCTAACTCGTGAAGCTCGTACAAGCTGTTTGGGTGATAGATAGGAGAAGATGTGCACGCGCATCTCGTGTGGCATGTTCTCCCAGAAGTTGAAGCCACGCTTGGGAACCGCGGGGTTGGCAACCTGGGCTTTATTCGTCGTCCTTAAATCGGATGGGAGTCCAATGGTTTGGGCTCCCGGTGATTGCGTAGTGGGGAAGACATTGTCGACCCGGCGAATAGCAAGTCGACCATCAATGCCTACGAACTGAATGATTTCGCTAGATGGTGTTCCTGGAACGGAAGATGAGGCACTGGCATAGCCTGATGCTGTTGCGCCTGCGGGGAAATAAGAGTCTCCAGTGAACGAGGTCCCTGCGGTTGAGGGTCCTGCCAAGCTCACGCAGGAAACGTTCCCCCTCGGACGTTGAGGATTGCTGTGTGATCTAGTGCGGCCACTCCTCGCCAACGAAGGCGTGGACGACATTCGTTGCACACCACAGAGCACGCGGTGCCGGCCTTTGGCTTTTCCTGAGGGATTTGAAAGGCCTGGGCCTTGCTCATCAACGACTTCCATAGGAGCCGGACCGGCGGGGATTTCGATGTCAGCCATAGCGAAGACTTGACCAAGTGAGATAGCTGGTTGAAGGACAAAACGCCTCTAGACAAGGAACAGAAGACGTCGAATAATGCTGTAATTTTTTGCCCCAGTCAAACTGCGACCGAGTCCGTTTTCTCAAAGTTGCGCAATTTCTCCCAGTATCGTCTTTGTTGGCGAGGTTAGGTAGCGCGGGGCAGTGAAGCTGAGCTCGGTGGTCCACGTCTTAGTCCCGGTGAGTTGAGAAAAGGCTCGGAACGGTCGGCGGATGGTCCTATTTCATATTCGACGTCGCAAGAGATGATCGCAGGCACACAGAGAAACAGACGAAAGACAGGCCAAGTCTCTAGGAAGACGGATGAGACATGAAGCGCGAGTAATCGGGGAGAGGTTATGGTCTTGAAGGCTGTCGGCTCTCTTAGAAGGGGGGTCAGGATGGAGGGGTGGCCAGGGTCCAGGGATTTTTGGTGGAGATCTGCTATCTGAACGGGTGTGAGCCGGCTATCGATAATGGAGGTCAGCCGGTGCAGGTAGCGGGTGGTGGAGCCTCAGAAGGCTGGAGGAAGGGGTCCTTACGGGTTGGGGCGGAGCACATGGCACACCGAAGACTCAAGATATCATGGCCTCTGATTCCTGTGTGGAAGGTCACACGAGCAGGATGTGTCTGGGACACGAACAAGGCTGCGAAGAGTGAGAGAGGGGATGGTGAGAGGGTGGCAGTTGAAGAAGAAGAGAAGAGGTCGGCGGATGGGGGGGCTAAAAGAGAAAGAACAAGAGAAAAGTTGTCGAGTCGAGCGGAAACAAAACCACTCACACATGGAACGACCGACACAATACCTTACTGTGGTAGACCGCACCGAAGGCCGGGTAAGGGGAGTAAGTAGAAGCTTAAAACGCGCTCTGGACGGAAGCACAAAACGGCCCTCACACCCCCCAATCCCATCCCATCCCATCCCATCCCACCATCCATCCCCTTTGTGTCGGCGAAACAAGGACCCTCCTTATCGATGGACACCGATGGGTCCCGGGTTCGCCATACATAATGCCCATCACTCACACCAACGGGTCAGTCTGACGGTCGACAGTGCTCGTAAATGCCTCCAGGGCCAAGGGTCTGAAGATGGCCACTGGCGATGTTCTCGTGTCTCTCTACCTTGCTTTGCTATGCACATACAGCAGGCTGTTCGGGATTTCGGCTGCTTGGAGCCAAGACTTGGGAAACAAAGTCCCCGCCGAAACGGATGGAGCTGGCTGGGAGATTCTCACCTGCCTTTCTAGCCGGATCCAATAGCTCTGCATAGCTGGGGGAAAGGCATGGCGGCGGAAAAGAGTCTGGAAGCAGAAGCTACCGCCAGTACGAGCAAAGAGGCACAGTGAGGGCCAGGCCAGACCAGAGGAGGCAAAAAAAAAACCCCCAGGCAAGACATGGGAACTCAGAGAAGTCGACAGTAGCGGCCGAAACGTAAGAAAGATACCTCTGCCGTGAGGTATCCACATGGTGCATCGTGCGGGGCCCGTGGTCCGGCGCAAAGAGCGGGCAGGTGGGGGAAGGACGAGGGGGGAAGAAGGAGGGGTCCGCCCGGAGTGCAGACAGGAAAGCCCTCTCCTTCCTCGATGTTACCCTCTCCAATCGTTACGGCTGATGGTGAATAAAAATGGATCACAGAAGATCCTGGCTCCACTTTACACAGCCATTCAGACCGCTGCTGATTGACACCGCACTTGCCCCCCCAAGACCCCCAAGAGGCGGGAGCGAGAGCATGACATGAGCACTTGTCCAAGTCACCTTCTTCCTTTTCGTGGCACCATCACCATCCCTCATCCCGCCATTCTTTCAGTCAACTGACGTGCAATCCGACGAGACAAATTCCCAGAAGCAATCTATCTGCCTTATCATCACCGCCAGGTCATGGTACGTCAGGCACAACACGGCTCGTCGACCATACCTCGTTCATGCTCCGAAAAAGACACACTATGTCCTGCTGCATTCAGCAACATATCGCAGGGTCCTCCGCCTCTTGAGGGTCTACAATAAGCAGGGACCTGAACACCAGATCTGCAGGACGAATCCTGAGCCGTACCCAACAGTCTCTAGCTCGCTAGCGTGTTGGCTGGACCCTTGAACTCTTGAACGCACTTGGTGTGGTGTATCTGAACTGACTAGCAAGTTGCAGCACGGCTTCGCCGTTTCTATCATCGCTCATTGGAGGAACTTGCTCCTTAGTTCTCCAACCGCCATCGCCCTCGCCGGGACGTTCAAGGCGTCTTTCCGCTCACTGTCTGCACGGCCGCGGCGCCG